AGCGTGGAAAATATTTTATAGTGGAGTAGTTTTTAGTGTTTTTTTTTTTTGGGTTTTTGTCCTAGTGTATCATTATATCCCAAAACCAGCGATCGCAAATGGATGCAGAAGGGTGCGGCACAACTCGCTGGTGAGTGGTAGAACTTTAGGGCAGTCTTTTTTTATATATGTGTATATCGCTACATTAGTGGAATACCCCTATGGAAAGCTCATACCAATAGCGGCAGGGAATTTATATTGGTGTCACCCACTGTCTCGGCAGCAGGGACTGCAACCAGGCTATTGAGTTAACAGCGCGCACAGAGGTGGCGAATCAAACAGTCAGGAAAGAGGTAGTCCGAGCGGTGTAATACATATATAGTTAATTTTAGAGGCTCAGTTTAATTAAAATTTTTTGTCTGTTATTCCATTAAATTTGTTTGTGTAAATCATCTTGTTTGGTCACGACCAATGAGAAAAGAACGCCAAACCGACTAGTCTGCTAAAGAGTGCATGGTTTGGGCTGGGAAAATCCGGTCCGGAAGATCTCACATATCCTCTTAAGAGAGCTCTTTTAGGTAGGTGGTTAGGCTTCCAGTGGTTTTAAAAGCGTTGTAAACTTCCGAGTTGATGTTTGGTTTGGTTTTTTTTGGCGATTTTATATACGTACATGCATACTTAATAATCTTAGCGTACTCATGGTCATAGATACGATTCTTATGAAATGTATGTTTTTTTTGTTAATAAATTTTTATTGTACCATATTTTAAATGAAGCAGTCCAAAATGATTGGTTAAAGTTTAATCGAAGGGTGGGAGAAGATGACTAGGGGCATTAGATAAGAGACGAGAGGAGCAAGGTAAAAAAAAGGGGGAACCGCAGTAAATCGCCAACCGGAAGAGCGGTCCAAGGACGGATGGGCTTCTTGTGAGACGAAAGATGCCGCTGATGATGGTAACATCCGCCCTGCTTCAATGTGGCCAAGGGTTGGGAACCGCGCCACACACAAATGTTGAGCTAGTACGGGTCACCACATTGATAGCAAAAACGACAGAAGGGCGGATAAACAGGTACGTGTACGTTACAGCTCTTCGAGAAAATTGGGGTTATTTGAGAAGGGGACGTGGCGCCTTTCAAACGCACTGAAACTATTACGTATCTTTGTATGCATGTACAGTTTTGCTAAGTTATTTAAGACGGCAAATATGCCTTCTGACAGCCACCAAACCGTAATATTAGAAGACGAATGCGTCACTTAAAATCATGAACGTGAACTCTTGGTGAAAATGTTGGACCAAAATGTTTCAATACACGGTTAAAAATTTCGGTTTAAATTTTAAACTTTTTGGACTACATATATGACCAAACCACAAAAATTCAGTTTCAAATACAAACCTTCTAAATTTCAAAAAAAAGAGGGCACATAAATTGGATTTAGAATTTAAACAGTTCGGTTTAAATTTTAAACCCAAACATTTTCATAATTAAGAATAAAAAATAAAAATAAAATTTCATGCTCCGTCTGATGGGGATTGAACCCGGACAGCCTTAGTAGCAACCAATTGTATCAAGCAGCTTTGCACACTCAGCTACAGCCACGTATGTAAATGTGCTTTCATAAGTTGAGTTTGAATCGACACCACATTTCGCTGTGTACAAACATTTTATATTTCGATTTAGATTTTAAACCAAATTTTCTATATACGAAACCTTGAAAGTATAATTAAAACATTTTGGTTTGATTTTTTGGACTAAAACTTAAACCACAATATATTAGAAAATGCTTAAAACTATTGACTGGTTTATAAAGTAGACTACAAAAGATTAAAAAAGGCAGCAGTCGTAGCGCGGTTTAAAAATTAAACCCAAATTTTTGACCATGAACAAAATATTTATTTTGGGTGGGACGAAGTTCGCCGGGTCTGCTATTATACATATAAAAATCGAACTCTTCCTACACGGCTCGACCGATCGTTATGAAATTTTTGTGTTATATATGGTAGGTATGAGAATCGGATGTCAAGCATATTTCATACTTCTAGGTCCAGGAGGCGTGGCACCTCCCATACAAACCAAATTTTTCATACTGCATATCCCGGAAAATGTTCATGGAATATGCTCGCACTTGGTATGGAGATATATGAAAGCAATCGCATACCCATGGAGATAAATTGTGGTTATCGGAAAAGGAGGCGTGGCACTTCCCATACACATCGAATTTTTCAAACTGCATATCTCTGAATGTGTTCATGGACGAGTACTGGGACTTAGTATGTGCAAGATATATAGAACGCGACTGGTCATGAAGAAAAGTTGGGGCTATTGGAAAAAGGGGCGTGGCTCCTCCCATGGTAGATTACTCGAAAATGGTATAGAGATATATGAAATCAATCCCATGCTCTTAGAGAAAATTGAGGCTATTTGAAAAGGGGACGTGGCGGTTTTAAAACGCACTGAAACTATTACGTATCTTTGTATGCATGTACAGTTTTGCTAAGTTATTTAAGAAAGCAAATATGTCTTCTGACAACCACGAAACCGTAATATTAGAAGACAAATGCGTCACTAAAAATCATGAACGTGAACTCTTGGTGAAAATGTTGGACCAAAATGTTTCAATAAAAACAATTTATTTTGGGCGGGACGAAGTTCGCCGGGTCTGCTAGTCTATATATATAAAAATGAAATGTCTTCCGTATGACGGCGATGCCTGGCCAAACGGTTGAACCAATTTTAATTCTGTCAAAAGGACATTTTTGGACCTTCTGTGTGGAAGGCTATTTGATTTAAAAAAATTTTAAATTTTTTGTTGTTGCCGAAAGATGAAGAAAGCTGTGACGTCATGATTTCACAATTTCATAGAGTTTTCCGTATATTGAATGTCACTTAACTACTAAACTTCTCTACCGATTTCGTTCATATTTGGAACATATTTCAGCACCCTGAAGGGAAATATTTCGACTAAAAATTTAATCGTTAGGTGGCACTAGGGTCGGGATATTCATAAAAATTGCAGTTACTTACTGATTTGCCTCATATTTAGAAAAAAAATTTAGCCAATTTAAAAGAAAACTTTACACTTGAAACTTACACGATAGGTGGCCCTGTGGCCGAGACATCCCCAAAAATTATATATTTGTGGAAGTATGTATGTATGTATGTATGTGCCAGGTTGCAGCCTAAACGGACGGACGGAATCGAACAAAATTTCGTCAGAATATTGCCATGACACCTGGGCCTATAATAGGGTAAAAAAATTGGGATTAGACATGGGGACGTGGCACCTCCCTTAGGCGTGAAATTTTTAATCAGCCATCACTCCGAAACTATAAGTCACATGAGCTTGAAATTTGGTATGCAGTCATATATATGGTAGGTGCTTACAGTAGAGTATATATAAATGACTTTGTAAAAGAGGGCGTGGCACATCCCATAGGCGTGAAATTTCTTACCAATCATAACTTCGGAACCATAAGTTACATGATATTTGGTATACAGTCATATATATGGTAGGTGCTTATATAGTATGGTATAAATAAATGAGTTTGTAGAAGTGGCCGTGGCACGTCCAATAGGCGTGGAATATTTTACCAGCTAGCTATAAATCCGAAACTACAAGTCATATGAACTTGAAATTTGGTATACAGACATAACTATGATAGGTGCTTACAGTAAATTATATATAAAGGGGTTTCTAAATGGGGGAGCGGCACGTCCCACGGACCTGGAATGTTTTATCAGCCATAACTCCGCAGCTATAAGTCGCTTGAACTAGAAATTTCGTACGCAGCCATTTTAATGGTAGGTACTTATATTAGGGTATATATAAGTGAATTTGGAAAAGAGGCCGTGCAACATCCAGTAGGCATGGAATTTTATATCAGCTGTAACGTCGGATCTATAAGTCCCACGAACTTGAAATTTGGTATGTAGATATATCAATGGTAGGTGCTTATATATAAATGGGTTTGTAAAAAGGGCGTGGCACATCCCATAGGCGTGGAAAATTTTACCAGCTGTAATTTCAAAATAATAAGTCAAATGAAATTGAAATTTGGTACGCAAACGTTTCTATGGTAGGTGCCTATAGTAGGGTATCTTAATATATAAATATCCCGTGTCACTGTGTTCGTTTACGCTAATCTCCGAAACCGCTTAACTGATTTCAATCAAATTTTGTGGGTGTGTATTGTTGGTTCCAACTTAAGCGATAGGATAGTTGTGAACCCGGGAAAAATATATTTTTTTCGTCGAAATTTTTTCTATGCTTCTCGCATCGTGCTTATCTAATTTATATGTATATATAAAAATGAAATGTCTTTCGTATGACGGCGATGCCTGACCAAAAGGTTGAATCGATTTAAATTCTGTAAAAAGGCCTTTTTTGGACGTTCTGTGTAGAAATATTTCGACTAGAAATTGAATCGCTAGGTGGCGCTGGGGTCGGGATATTCATAAAAATTGCATATTTAGAAAACAATTTAGATAATTTAAAAGAAATATTTGGACTTAAAACTTACACGATAGGTGGCCCTGTGGCCGAGACATCCCCAAAAATTATTTTACGCTAAGAGAAGGATATATCTACTATGTATGTAGACATAGATGTACTATGTATGTATGCGCCAGGTTGCAGCCTAAACGGACGGAAGAATCGAACAAAATTTTGACAGAGTATTGCCATGACACCTGCTCCTATAATAGGGTAAAAAATTGTAATTCGACAAGGGGGCGTGGCACCTCCCATAGGCGTGAAATTTTTAATCAGCCATAACTTCGACACTATAAGTCACATGAACTTGAAGTTTGGTATGCAGTCATATATATGGTAGGTGCTTACAGTAGAGTATATATAAATGACTTTGTAAAAGTGGGCGTGGCACATCCCATAGGCGTGAAATTTGTTATCAATCATTACTTCGGAACCATAAGTCACATGAACTTGAAATTTGGTATACAGTCATATATCGATGGCTGAGTGGAAGATCGACCTATCTCGGCAGCCAGTTCGAAAACGCTCTATCTCAAAAAACTTTTCAAGAACGCCCTATTTCAGAATTCGTTTCAAAAACGCCCTATCTCAGCTGCCGATTCAAAAACGCCCTATATAAGCATATTTTCAATTTATTTACATTTAGAAGTGGGATAGGGCGTTTTTGAACCGAATTTTGAGATAGGGTGTTTTTCAATTAAATTCTGAAATAGGGCGTTCTTGAAAATTTTTTTGAGATAGAGCGTTTTCGAACTGGCTGCCGAGATAGGTCGATCTTCCACTCAGCCATCGATATATGGTTGGTGCTTATAGTATGGTATATTAAATGAGTTTGTAGAAGTGGGCGTGGCACATCCAATAGGCGTGCAATACTTTATCAGCTATAAATCCGAAACTGTAAGTCATATGAACTTGAAATTTGTTATTCAGTCATACATATGGTAGGTGCTTATAGTAGGGTATGTATCAATGAGGTTGTAAAAGTGGGCGTGCCACATCCCATAGGAATATTTTATCAGCTTTAACACCGGAACTATAAGCCACATGAACTTGAAATTTGGTATGCGGACGTAACTATGGTAGATGCTTACAGTAAAGTGTATATAAAGGGGTTTGT